TAATATATCCCCGAAAACTATCAATCAACTGCTTCATCACAGTTGTTGAGATGTTGCTAGACTATTGCTATGGAATCCCACGTGGTTGCTATGAAATCCCCAGTGCTTGTTAAGATATTGTTAGACCTGTGCTATGAAATCCCAGGTGGTTGCTGTGGAATCCCAGGTGGTTATTAAGATGTTGCTAGTCTATTGCTATGGAATCCCAGATGATTGCTACGGAATCCAAGGTGGTTGCTATGAAATCTCAGGTGGTTGTTAAGATGTTGCTAGTCTATTGCTATGGAATCCCAGATGATCGCTATGGAATCCAAGGTGGTTGCTATGAAACCCCAGGTGGTTGCTATGAAATCTCAGGTGGTTGCTGGGGAATCTCAGGTAGTTGTTAAGATGTTGCTAGACTATTGCTATTAAATGCCAGGTGGTTGCTATGGAATCATAGGTGGTTGCTATGGGATCCCAGGTGGTTATTAAGATGTTGCTAGACTATTGCTATGGAATCCCTGGTGGTTGCTATGGAATCACAGGTAGTTGTTATGAAATCCCAGGCGGTTGTTGCTAGACTATTGCTATAGAATTGCAAGTGGTTGCTATGGAATCCCAGGTAGTTGCTAACATTTTGCTAGGCTGTTGCTATGGTCTCCAAGCAGGTTGCTAAGGTGTTGGTGTTATCCCAGGTGGTTGCTATAGTATTGCTAAGCCATTGCAAAGGTTTATGTTTCTAGCTCAAAAGCTATGACCTGTAAAAATGGTTATTTTATTTTATTTTTTTTAATTTATTTTATAAATATAAAATATGTCAAAATTCACATTTTTCCATGTTAATTTCAGCAAATAAACAATGATTGTGCATTAAAATATGCAGTGTGTTTTCTACAGAGGAGCACAAATATAACTGGGTTGCCCCCATGCATACAACTCCAACTCAAGAGACACATGTAGATGCCAGATATAAACTGCTATACTTCTTACTGTCCACCTGTGATCAGATCAATTGAAATGCATGAACAGGGCCTAGTGCAGCCTATTCTGCAGTTGGCTGATCTGTTCTACAGTCTTAAACAAATGGCCTTGAAACTCATGGTTTTAGCTGAGGCCTTCGCTGAGGAATTAAAAAATTCAGCCCTTGAGATTTTGATGGGCTTAATTAGACCAACAGCGGTGGCAGTAAAGCTCCTCCCACTCAAAGAAACTCCTAGACGGTCAGATGGAGGGGGCAGTCGGGAGCTGTGAGTTACAGTTTCTCTTTTGGTTGAATGCGATTTTTGACTGCTTATTATAAAGCTTGCCCCACTTCACCACAGCAGCTATGAGAGAACACATTTGTGGGCGGAGCCTGGTGAATTGCAGCAGTGGGCTTTAGGAGGTGGGTGTTGTGTGTTTGGGGGTTTGGCTTTAGTTTTCCATGTGTGGAGTGTCTGAATAGGCCTCAGCCCGCCTCCATAGTCTCCCTTAACAACAGCAAAGCACTGATACACTCCCTGTGGTAAACACACACACACACACACACACACACACACACACCGCCTCTCGCAGCCCGAATCACAGCGCTGCAGAGATGGCCGTCACAAATCCCATTTCCCACTGACACTATTGATTAGAATTATTCTAGACGTGATTGTCTCAGCCACTGCACCGCAGGGCGAGCGAGAGAGAGAGAGAGAGAGAGAGAGAGAGAGGAGGAGAAGGAGGAGAAAAAGGAAAAAACAGAAAAAAGGCAAGATGAGAGACAAGAGAGACTGAGAGAGAGAGAGAAAGAGACAGAAATGAGAGAGAGAGAAAGAAAAGTGCAAAAGAAGTGAGCAGAGCAGTCTTTCTCTCTCCTCTCTTTTCTCAGTCTCTCTCTTTCCAGTTCCTCAGAGTATCTCTCTCTCTTTCTATCAATACCCTCCCTCTCTACATCTTTCTCCCACTTTCTCCTATCTCCCCCTTTCTCTTTCTCTCTCTTTTAATCAAAGTCGCTTTTTATCACTTCCACACTTTCTTTCCTTCTTTCTTTCTTTTTTCTTCCTCCTTCTACAGTTCTCGCTCTTTCTCCCTCTCTCTCTCTCTCTCTCTCTCTCTCTCTTTCATCACCCTCACTCTTTCTTTTTATCGTTTGCCATCACTCTATATTTTTCTCTTTCCTTCTTCCTCTCTCGTTTTCTGAAAGTCTCTTTTATCACTTCCTTTTTCTTTCTTTCTTTCCTCCATCCTTCCATATTTCCCTCTCTTTCTCGCTCCCCCTTTCCTTTCTCTTTCTCTATCACTCTTTCTCTCTGTCTTTCCTCTCTCTCTCTTTCGAACCATGCCCTCCCTCTCTACATCTTTTTCCCCCTTTCTTCTGTTTGTCTGTTCCCCCTTTCCCTTTCTTTTTCTCTCTATTTCTGAACTTTTATCACTTTCTTTCTTTCTTTTTTCTTTCTTCCTTTCTTTCTCTCCTCACTCTCCCTCTTTCCTCCCTCCTTTTCTAATCCCATTTCTTGCTCCGTCTCTTTTCTATCACTCTCTCTCTCTCCACCTCTATCCCCCCCCTCTCTCTCTCTCTCTCTCTCTCTCTCTTTCCCTCTCTCTCTCTCTCTCTCCCTCTCTCTCTCTCTCTCTCTCTCTCTCTCTCCTCAGGGCTGTAAGTGTCTCTCAGTATCAGGGCTGTGAGTTCAGCAGTAGTGGAGTTGCTGATGCAGCTCGCTGCCAGACAGCGCTCTGTCTGTTCTCTCTGTTCTCTGTTCTCTCTCTCGCTCTGTCTGAATAAAGCTGGAGACTTTTCCTCAGCCTAGATATGATTACACTCGTGAGGAAAGCTCACCGGCCAGCCGTCTCGTCTCTGAACACGTCGTCATGGGGCTTTAAATCCTGTTTGAGTAGTTGAAATGCGTCTAGACTCTGCGTAGAGTGGGGCAGTTGATTAAAAGACTCGGGCTGCAACACTTCAAAGGATTTGGCTATATAGGTAAAAATTATTCTGCCTCTGCTCCACAACACCTCTCTCACTTTAAAACGGATTTAAATCGTGCTTAGAAACCGCTGGTTCCACCGCAATTCGGATCGTTCAACCAGTACCAGAATGTTTGGTTTGTTGCTAATCCCTTTTCCTCTCATTTCTCTCTTTCACTCATTCTTCCTGCTCTGTTCTGTTTTTCTCAACTTAAGTATGCTTTATTGTCATGGCCATATTCAGCTATAGTTGCCAGAGCGTGTAAGTATCCTCAGTTGGAAGGCAAAGGGCTTTTTAGTATTAATTGATGTTGTTTTTAAAGGGGAATTCCACTGATTTTCCAACTTTTCTGAATGTCCTGCTTTAAGATTTCAAGTCATTTAGAGTGGTGCATTCTCGAGAAACTAACCAAGTCAGCTCACCGTGGTAGGGATAGGAACCAGACATCTGAAGAGTTTAATGCCTCTGAAAGTTCCCTCAAATTACATGTTATTATATGTTATTATATGAAGTGTTTATTAATACGATGCCTGCTGCCTGAGATATTGTTTAACAATAGCTTTGATTTAGATTTTGGCCTAAAATGTGATTCTAAAAAGCCATTCATAAGGGAGATGTAAGTATATGTCATAGTGAGAGAAAGGAGTCCCCCCTGTTTTACCATCATCAACAGTACATGTATGAACTCAAGACACATGCTCACTGGATGTTTTGGGTAGTAAATCCTATATGTGCTATATTTGCATTGTAGTCATTGCCACATCTTTATATCTCAGTGATTAAATTATCCATACATATAGAAAATCTGTGTAATTCTTTTATAGGAAGTTAAAGCTGCTCTTTGCAACATTTATTTGTCATAATTAAAAGAAGTAGCATATTGCACTGCTGCGCTGCTGTGAGTTGCCCTGTAAGGCCTGAAATAATCAATTAACAGAAGCCATTATTTTGTACTACTTTAAAAGTCAGAGATATTGAGTTGCATTTCAGTTTTTCATATCACATCATCCATCTTTACATATCAACGTGGCAGCCTCAAAAAGAAGGTCCAGCTTGATGTTTAGGTCTCAAAGGCAAAATCAACATTATATTAATAATGATATGATGACAACCGTAGATAATTTACTCCCATCCACTCACGTCTCTTGGTATTTATTTCTTTAATTTGATCTGTGTCTTTGTCTTATATGATTTTAAATTAACACTCATGATTTCTCATGACTGTTTAGCTTTGGCACCTGCCTATGAAGCACTTTGAGCTGCCACAGGCATGAAAATGCTATATAAATAATAATGATAATAATAATCATAAGTATTATTATTATTATTATTATTATTATTATTATTATATTCTCTATGAATACTCTTTCAGTCACAATCATCAAATTCATCTGCTCAGGGAAGGCTGAAGCACATCCCATGTTACACAGTGTCTGCATGTTACATGCAATTACACATTTCCACCAGAGAGGTCTCCAAATCCCCAAAACATAGTGTAGCTTCAATATGGCAAAATGTTTAGGCCAAATTTTTTTGTACTATTTCACCCAGTTCATTCCTCATGACATATGCATACAATGTAAAGCTGGTACTTGTAAATTCTGTAAAAAAAAATAATAATTATAATAATACAAATTGAAATTACAGTGGGAAAAACCTTGCCATTCATTTCTGACAGGCAAATGTCTCTTTATCATTAATTGATATTGCCTTCATAGACTATGTTTATTAGCTTACATTGCTTAAGTCTACTATGTTAACAATGTTTATCTACCAATAAGAAAAAGCAAAAAGTTATGATGCAAAATAAGACCTTTATCTTACTGTCATAGTGCTTTTAGGTAGCACTAACTGAGGCACATTCAGTTAAGCCTACGATAAATAACTAGGCTAACATCACCACTGTTTTCTGGCTAATGCTCAATTTAATGTTATAATTCATTTTAATTTAACATATCTTTTATATAACTTTATATGTTATAATAACAATATCTTCATCCAATTTAAAAGAACATTCGTCTTCATCCAATTTGTATATAACTAAGTATTTATACGTATATTTCTCTCTCACTTTCTGTGTCCATAGCTGTGTCCGGCGCGGAGGACGTGGCCCTGTACGTGGGGATTGTGGCCGTGGCCCTGTGTCTGACGCTGCTGCTGGTGGTGCTGGTGCTGGTGTACCGGAGGAAGAAGGCCGGTCTGGACGCGGATGTGGCCGACTCGTCCATCCTCACTACTGGCTTCCAGCCCATGAGCATCAAGCCCACCAAGCCAGGTGTGTGGGCACCACACAGGGCATCCCGCTGCAGTAGGCTACCCTTCCTCTCTTCTACCCATCTCAGTGTTCCCTCTCTCTCTCTTTCTTGTAGTCTTTTCTTTCATCCTTCCATCCTCATGCCTGTGTGTGTGTGTTAGTGTGCCACCAACAGGGATGGACTGACTATTGGGACCACTGGGAGAATTTCTGGCCAACATCTGTTGGCCATGCTTTTGGTCCAAAAACAGAGATAAAGAGAGAGAGAGAGAGAGAGAGAGAGAGAGAGAGAGAGAGAGAGGCAGCAAAACGCAAAACACGTGGAATGTGGACGTCCTCAGAATGAGGTGCTGCAGCAGTAAGAGTTAGAAGTTATAAGCGCAGCGACTTGTGTATGACGGCTAACGTTAATTATTAGTACAGCACACAAACCAAGAAGGTTCACAAGCTGGCCAAACTTGTAGCTGAGCCAACCAGGCTGAGTCAAAAGTTTAAGAATACAGACCACTGACCTGTGTAGTTTCGCCTTCTTTGGGTAATTAGCTTGTCAGCTAGCTATAAAAAGGGTTAGCTTATTTAGCTAGGTGATGTTAGCCTCATAACACAAAGCTAGGACTGTTTTTTGGCTTTTTCCAGCTTTATGTTTTTTGGAACGTACTCAAGATTGGTACCAACAGGATTATGAGGTACACAAGGGTGCTCTTTTCTGTATTTGCTAACACATGCAGCTGAAGCTAACAACAATATAGCTAATTCTCTACTCTTCCAGGTGAGGATGAAGCAACAAAGCACTATTTCATCACCAATAAGTGCACCAAACATTTATTGGAGTGTTATGTTCATGTATTAATTGTTATTTGTAAACCTATTTCTTCGTTAAAGTGACATAAGCTAGTTATGATGCTAATGCTAAACATATTAGCATTTATTAAGAAAAATACATGTTTTTGCACAGATTTTGACAGTTGGCATGATAAACGTTAGCTTTGCTTGATTCTATACACGATTCTGTGTAAATACAGGCATTATTTCATGTTAGCATAACTAGTTTTGGGCTAAGATAACTAATAATTAGCCAAATTAGATGCTCTGTTAGACACTTTGTACATATAAAATGACCAAAAACACAGATAAATTGTTAATTGTGGTTATGATAGTTCCAGCTGTCACTCAAGCAGGAATGAACTAGAACTAGAAACTCAAGTTCTGTTGGTTCCCGTTTAGGTCAGTTCTTGTTTTTCTTGTTTTTGAATGTCCAGTGGTAACCACCAACACACACCCCCCCACACACACACCAACCCCACCACCACTACTACCACTAACATGCTAGGTAATCAATTTTATAATATATAAAGTATAAATTTACCAACGAACAGTGAAGGGAGATACAAGGATGCTTGGTTTTGATCTCAGTCCATCCCTGGTCACCAGTGACTCCACTTGTCTTCAAGACTTTTGTGCTGGTGTATTTGTGTGTCTCTACATGTGCGTTCACGTATGCAGCCTGTCGTCCATTTCCAAGTGGACGAACATGACCATAGCGTTCCATTTCTGTCAGTGCTGTAGTTTTTGTGCTAAAGCAGAATATGTGAGGGAGTCCATCAGCCAGCCACCTGTTCCAGCAGCCGGCTATGAGGTTATGACATTGTTGAGCTGTTTTCCATCCGAGCGCCCTTGCACAGTCTCCGCTAGCCGCCCCTCACTTAATGTCATGTTCTTCTTGCTGATTTTTGACTGTAATCTGATGTGACAGAATTGAAAGTGGCTCTGGACTGGAAAATGGAGAGGTGGGCTGAACATAGTCTCTTTGTTTTTTTTTTTCCCTGCAAAGACTTAAGCAGGCCTGAAAAGAGCTTTTTTAAATGGGCCCTCCTAAGCTGGCCTTAAAAGCTGTATGAAATTGATTGTGGTTGCTGAAGAGAAGAAGGCATTGATTTATCCATGAGACAGTTCTTATCAGTGTTAAGGGTCTGTGAACAATGGACTATCCGTATGTGTGTGGAGAGTGTTGTGTGGTTTGTGTGTGTTTGCATTGACTTCTGTTTGCTGTTTTAAAGAAAAAGTTCTGCTAAAAATCATGGTGACAGTTTTTCCATTACCCCAAATTTAGATGATCAACTAAGACAAGGTTGGCGTACAAAGTTTGTTCATTTATTTTTGTGCTGGAGCTATAATGGTAATGTAGCTAAGAAGTAATGGAAGCTAAAGGCCTTTTTTGCTTTTTGGCTATAGGCTCCTATACTGACTGCAATATAAAGAACAATATTGGTCATTTAGCTTTTATATTTCCTCAGTTGCAATTGGAATTCTGCATAGTATGTTGGCTGGTCTGACAACAAATGCTAAATGCTTGTTTGAATGATTTGAAGCTTACCATAGCCACCAGCTATAATATAGCGAATGCTAACTGTTTGGAGGATTGGCCATGCGTTAGATACTATGACCACAGTTACCATAGTCACAACGTAATTTGTGGGGACATAACAATTCACAACATTCATAATTCGATTTAATGTGATACAGTAGTGTTTAGCAATTAGATACACTTTCAATAAGGAAAAACAACAAAAAAATAGGGAGCGACTTGACATTTTTGGTTTATTCAACTTTATAAAAGTACAATATTTGAAACAAGTACTCCAAACTAAGACTCATCATGTTAGTCCCAAGCTAAAACATTAGGTGCAAGCTAGCATGCTAGTCACAATACAGTGTTATAGTACAATACGTTGATGATACACTGTGAAATAATCGATTTCAAATCTTTTTTATTTTTAAATCTAAATGTCTGACTACTGCCAGAAAATAAAAGCTTAAAAAGAGAAAAAAACTGCTTTCATGGGTTGTTTATTTTGTCAGAACTACAATTCTGTAATTTACCATGCAGTCAGAAACAGAGTACATTGTCCTGATAAGACAGAAAAGCTTTGTTGTTTTAACTTTCGTTCCATTTTAAACAGTTTAAGATTTACTTTTTTGAGTAATCTCAAACTGATTAGCATGTGTGGATTTCTGGCAGTAAGACTTTATAGTCAAAGACAATCTTTGAATCTGGTCCTGGATTTTGCTGTAACTGGTAGTGAACTGAACTGTTGATATTATTGATTGGCCATATCGACAATTATATCTACCACTCAGTTAACTACTAGCCATAACAAAACCCAGCGTCAGAAACTGGATTCAAGGGCTGGAAGACTTTGCATAAAAAATTATTTTATTTATATATGGAGAAGAGTACAGACAAGACTGAGGTTAAAAGATTGCTTCTATCCTAGGGTTTCAGTCACATGATCTTTCTGTTGTGGCTGCCATATTTGGGACTGAATTTCTGGCTTCACTGCTCCACACGAACATAACTAAAGATGAAAGATGGCTAAAATTACCTCACTCTGGAAAGGAAAAAAATGTTACCTCGACATAGTCAATAAAATGGGGTATGATCCCTATACAGTTTCCCCCGAACTGCTGGTCCCATTTAAACTGGTGGAAAGCTACCAAATTTGTGTTTTCCTGACATTAATATTTATCTCATACACAACCCGTCTCTCTATTCTGGAGAGTCTCTCAAAGCATGTAGAAGAACAGAAGCCTACTGGCTATTCACATCAGGTGGGTAAAGGATCCCATCGTGTCGCATAAAGAGGAGAAAAACTCTGTCATCATAGGAGGGTAACATCAGCTGATTAACACAGATATGAACAGTGCTAGTCTTTAGATAACCTTTGCTAATGTTAACAGCCAAGAGATAAACAGTCATCCCCCTAACGGAGCTGCAAACAGCTGGGTATAACTCTACTCTCTGTTTCTGGAGATTTAAATGATGTTTGAATAAAGAAACATAAATCCCAAAATTGCAGCAACTATACATTGTGACGTCACGCGAAACACAATGTTCTTTTAACAAACATGTCTAGTGCTTTCTCTCTATTTCCTTATTTCCCTCTCACTCCTCTTTTTTCCTTCTTTAACCAGAGAGCTCTCATCTGCTGACCATCCAACCGGACCTGACCACCACCACCACCAGTTATCAGGGCACCCTGCGCTCTCGCCACGACATGGCCCAGAAGTTCTCCGTGAGTAACGGTCCTCTGCTGGAGCCCCTGCCCAACGGCTCTCAGACACTGCATAATGGCAAGCTGCCCGGTGAGCCTGGAGACTTCGTCAGCCGCCTCTCCTCTCAGAGCTACTTCAAAACGCTGCCGCGAGACACCGTCAACACCTCCTATGGCACCTTCAACTTCCTGGGTGGCCGCTTGACCCTCCCTAACACGGGTGAGTCGCAGGGCAGCAGCAAGGGGTGTGACTAAGACATCAGGTCTGATTTCGTCAGGAAGTGCAAGTGGGGGGAAAATGCTTAAACTGCACTTTTACAGCAAAGGACAGATCTTACACAAAGGGTCAGCAAGAAGTCATACAGCTTGGCCAAGAATAAACATGAGTAGCACGTCAGTTGATACAGTAATCATGTTAACTATAAAATCTTAAAAGCTTTTGAGTATTTCAGGCCTGCACCGATATAGAAATTGTGGGCTTATGCAAATATCTAATATTTTTTTAAGTATGTTCCTGCCAGTGCCAATGGCAATACATAAATGTTTATAAAATGTAGAAATTCGGACTACATCTTTCTAGATTAGTCAAGTCAAAGTTTATTTATATAGCGTTTTTTACAACAGGCGTTGTCACAAGGCAGCTTTACAGAAAAATCCGGGTCCGAGCCCCAATTAGCAATACAATGGCGACAGTGGCAAGGAAAACCTAAACTTGGCTACCTAAACTAGGTAAACTACCTTGGCTAAACTTGGCTACCTAAACTAGTCCAAAAATCTGTCCAACGCTAATCATTTTGTAAGCAGTTATGTTCTGATACCAATATGAATCTGATATCATCATGCATCCCTAGGATTCTTTTATAGACTAAAATTCCAGCCAAAACCACAAAATTAGCCATTGCTATCTGTTGTAAACAAATTTTTAGTCTTCTACAAGATTCAGATGTCCATGTTTCATCTACAGTGACCAAAATTGTTCATGTGCAATGCTGTTAGTGCTGCAGTAGTCTCAACAGAAGGGCAGGGAAGGGCCAGGGTCCAGCACAGTTTAGCGATTTCCCTGCTCTAGCACATGACCTAAACCTAGCAATTAACTGATGAGCTGAATCAGATGTTGTTGAGCAGGATCACCAAACTATCCAGGATTCTGGCACTCCTGGACTGGAATTCCCCACCCTTGCTATGTAGTGAGATTTTCTGATTTAAAGACTAGAATCCCCTCTTATGATGTATCTTGAACATGGGAGGAACTTTTGAAACACTGACAGCTTTAAGGTGGATTTTTAGAGATGGGGTATTTTGTTTTTTTTTCATTAGCAGCAGAATGCAGTTAGCATATATTACTGCTAGCAATCTAAATAAATGAGTAATTGATTCCAATCTTTGCTACAATGGGGAGAATAAATTACTCAAATGACAGAAATGCCTCAGTGCAACAAGCTGAAAGCTACTAGCAAGGTGGTTATCTACACCAGCATGGCTTCTTTCTTCTGGCTGAAGGGGTAGAAACTTGTCTCTGATGTCGTTTTTGTGTTGATTAAAGACAGAATCGCTGTTTTCTTTATGATTTTGTTCAACACCCGAGGTAAAAGTTGCATTAATGCTGGCTCAGATGTATTTATTAGCTTATTGATTAGCAGTCAAGATTGGTTGACAGCACAGGGATTCCCAATACTGGTGTGATGTATTTGTGTGGTGCTTTTATAGTGAGTGAACATTGATGAAAGAAAACATAAAAATATATACAATTGCGCATTCTGTCAAATGGATGAGGATGAAGGATGCAATGCTGTGCAACAAAACAAATAACATTATGTTCTAGTTTTAAGCCAGAATGCCCCTTTATGGTATCACTGACAATAACAAAAGCATGGTGTCATTTAATAAATGATATTTTTTACTTGTAACACACTGATTTTAATGGTAAATAGTGTCAAAGGTTCACATTATACATTTGCAATCCATTCTGTTGTGCATACAGTGCTGTTTCTATATTCTCTTTAAATTTAGAAATATATTGACCATACAAGACAACATATTCCATTTTGATGTATACTAAGGGACTCATTAGGTGAGGTTAGTAAGTGTTGAGTTTGTCCTGCAGACGGAAACGATCTGCCCGAGGCCAGGCCGCGGCTGCAGTAGGCTGTGAGCATAGTAAGCCGATCGCTGCCTTCGTGCTGCAACCTTATCCAGTCCAAGGACACCAGCAGAGTGTATTCAGGGCAATTAGCTCTCTCAATAAGAGACACAGGCCTCATCAGTCTGTCACATTAGGAGCTATCCCCTGCTCGGCTGAAGGTGCAGGGAGAGGAAATGAATCTCTAAGAAGTGTTGGCGCTCATTGAGAATAGCCCAGTCGCTCTGTTTCCACGGCGAGGTGGAGAAAGGGAAAAGCAGAAGAGCAGCAGCACTAATGTTCTACCAATCGGATCAGTTAAAGTAACTAACAGCTTCAGCTGACAGCAACAGATTTAGCTGATCCTAGAACAGCATTGCTGGAAAGAGCATTAAGTGTTCTTACTGAAGTAAAAGTACTGCTACTGTAGGGATCATTTACTTGTAAACAAGTGAAGAGAATGATTCAAGTAAGTTGTTTTTGCAACACTACTCCAGTAATTACCTCGATACTAAGTTAACATTAACCTTAGAAAGAAGGCCCAGTGCTGGGTTTAGCTAATCCGTTATCTTGTCTTGAAAATTAGCTTACATTAGCTAAATTAGCTAGCAAGTCTCTCACAATACAAAAAAACAGGCCTGAAATACCGCCTGGTATTCAAGGGGTCCCACGTTGGCTGGGTTCTCCAGCATTGGTGGGCTGCAAACTCACTCATCATAGCAGTGCTGATTGGTTTGTTAACAATTCTTCTGAAAATTCTCTGTTCTAGTTTGGTAATGCGGTCTTAACTGAGATCTCATGCATCTCTTATACTGCCTTCGGTTTGAGAAATGAGTAACAATTCACTCTTTCCACCAAACTCTTTGGAAACTGGCTGAGTTTTTAGGTTTGTGGCACATTGTAAAGTTTTTAAGAGGTATCCTGGGCATAGTTACAGTTGCTAGACTATGAAGTACCAAGTGGGTAAACCAATTTGCAATAGTGCCACTCTGAGGCAAACCACTGCTGCAGCTTTAGTTAGTTGAGAATATAAAAGACAGTAGCCTGTTTGGTGGGTGAAGCAGGCTAAACAGTGACTATTTCCTGAATTTGTATTTGAGCATGCATTTTTCCCTAATGGGCAGCAACATCATGATAAATTTTTTAGGGACCCCCCAGAATATAGATTTTGAGATATTCAGGGGGTCTGGCTAAGTTAATTAGGCAGTTATTAATTCAGAGGAAACAAATATTTCATTCAAAGTATGAATTGTACAAAACAAGTTAAACTGCTTCTTATCAAGTGAAGTAAAGTTTTGAAAATTAAACAGATGCTACCTTTTTACAGTGTACAGAATTACATCCAACTTCAGATGCTGACATGTATGTAGCCATCTTAAAATAAGTGCTAGCTAATAATGCAAGCTAACCCCTAACATCAGCCACTTCTGTCCATATAAAGGACAAAACTGACCAACTTACTGTAAAAAGTGGTTCAACCTTAGTGTAACTTTAACAATTTACTTAAACTTAAAACTGGTAACAAGCAACTACTATTATTTAACTAAAATAAATACTTTGATTGAAACAGTGGTTCAACAAAGTATTTGAGTTGAATAAAGTAGGTAATTTACTTGTTATTACATGATTTCTTTGCATTTGAGCTAAAACTGAACCATTTCAGTATAGCATAAAATTTAATGTGTGCTAGAACTTGACTTTCTGTGCTCTCTGCTTAGTCTAGTGGGGCCAGATATGACCTCATAATGGGAACATCTGGGGACAACCATGGGAACTTTTTGGCAAAATGCAGGTTGGAAAATAGGCTTATAAGAGTAGGAACAACCTGAGAGTGAAATTTTTAAACTAATCCGTGGCAGAGCTCAAAGTAGGGGGGCGAGGTTACGCCCACTTACATCCATCTTTAGCCCATGGATGTAATGTAAGTTAGCAAACAAGCAAGGGAAACAGTTCTGTTAGTTAACAACTGGCGTTGCTAGTTAGCTTGATTTGCTACTTTAATTATTGTGCTCCAGACATTAAAAGAGTACAGACTAGAGGACATTGGGAGTGGATTTTGGAGGGTGCATACCCTTATTTGGGGTGGATTTCACTGCAATCCAGCACCAAAAGTTAACAAGTTGTCTCCAGATGTGTTTCTCATTACAAGATACCCTCTATGCTGAGGGAGCTAAGCCTTTTTTCCAGCCGGAGAGACGTGTCTAGAGACGAGTTTGTTTGGCCTTGGCTTTACCTCCTGATATTTGCATGTTAACTGCCTGTGGTTTTGTCAGCACATACAGGCCCTTTGTGAAAACACTGTGACTTTCATACACAGCAAATGAGCTCCCTTCTCCTTCTCACCAGGGATAAGCCTGCTCATCCCCCCGGAGGCCATTCCCAGAGGCAAGATCTACGAGATATACCTCACTGTGCAGAGGAAGGAGGATCTGAGGTGGGTCTGTCTTCAGTCCGTCCGCCTAGCGAAAACAGTTTGACACGGAACAAGGAGAAAAAAACAAGTAAAGGGAGAAGAAAGACCTGGCAGGCAGTGCTGAACATGATTGAAGTCAATTCCCCCATGCCGGCGTGTGTATACGTGTTTGTGTGTGTGCAAACAAGTGCTCGTGGTCAAACAGATGACTAATATCAGCTTCAGAATTAAAGGCTTTTGTAAGAGTATATGTGTTCGGTCTGGTCTAAGGTACTTCAATGAGTCACTCCTCCTTCCAATAGCAGAAACACCGTCATGCTGCGTCATGGTGGTTTATGTGCACATGTGTTAAGTTCAACTAGTTCAAACTGAGGTCATTTAGTAAAAAAAAAAACATAAAAAAACGTAAGTATTCAGACATGGGATATTTACAACGATTATGTTGTGATCTATTAAAACCCAATGCATTAATTTGAGATAGTAATAAGCTAAATATATGCAAAATCATCATTTATAGGGTACTATAAATGAGGTCTATTGCTGTCTTAAACACTAACCCCTAAATTTACACTTTGGAAAATGTGAATTTTTACAGTTTAAATTTGAATTTAAATTTTATTATTTGTTTTAAAGAAAAGATTTATTTTTTAGATTTATTTTAAAGTGGAATTGAAAAATGTATTATGAGTTTTAAAAAGTTTATTCAACAAATTGCTGTCCCACATTTTCATGTCACTACCGAAACACAAAGAGATTTAGTTCATAGGCAGAGCTTTATTTTAGCCACACCCCTGCATTTTAGAGCAGGAAGTGAGACTGCATCCCTGTCCCTCATGGCCACATGATGAGCAGTTAGATCTCATTGTTTTGAAGTAAATTTGCCCCCAAGTCTGAAATTCAGTGTGGAACATTAAGAATTGTCACTACTGAAACACATATGTTCTGCAATTAAGTACTTTTTGTGTTTTAATAAAAAATATTATGATTTTATATGTATAAATTGTTCGACACTGCATTTGCTAGTCATATACTGGCTAGTTAAAATGAGCTAATGAGCTAAAATTGTCAATACCGAAACAGTGACTTCTGAAACATTTGGGAAAGTTTCGATACTGTTTTGGTTGTTTTTGTTAGTGACAAAATGGAAAGTTCAATCATTTGTTTTGATGAAATAAACATAATTAAGCTATAGAGTCACTCAAAGCAAAAGCATTTTAGTCTAAAGTCCGAGTGAGATAAAAGTCCAAAATGTGTTTTGAACTCTGACTTTGAACCAATTCTTTAGAATGATCCACATAACTAAGCTGCTGTTTTGATTTCATCAAAGTTTCATCATTTACATTTGCAGTTTAGCCCCACTCATTCAGACTGATGTGATAAGAAATGTTGTTACTGCAGACAGTAGTTGGAGTGGATTGAAACAATTAAACGTTGTGCTGTTCATGGCTCTCAGGAAACAATGTATCATTGCCAGTGTTGGACAAAGAACACAGCTTCTGTATTAGAGTGAAAGTAGAGATAAGCAAGTTCCTGCTAATTTAAGTGTCAAAAAAGTACTGTGAGAATAATTATTATGCTGTAATTTTGATGAACAGTTTCTTGTAAGCAGATACAAAGTAGTCAAATGTCCCTGTTTATGAAAAAATTACATTAATCCATAAAAGTGATATTTGAATGAATAAATGAATGAATACTTTAATGAAATGTAGATAAAAGTATTTAAGTACAGTAAGCTTGTTTTGGGTGCATAAAACAAAAACTTTACTAGAATAAAATGCAGCTAAAATGTTTTTTACATGTGGAGACAAAAATCACACAAAACAATGCATAGTGGCAGAAAACCCATAACAGAAAGCTTAAAATGACTGGAAGATATTTACTGTAGGATCAGTAGATAGTGATGTTGGCTGCGAGCCAGTGTGGGCGAGCCCCATCCTGGTCCCTTTGACCTTAACATTGACTCTGTCCTACGCTTATGCCCCTTTCAGGCTGCCCCTGGCCGGCTGCCAGACACTACTAAGTCCCGTGGTGAGCTGTGGCCCTCCGGGCGTGGTCCTCACCCGCCCGGTCATCATCAGTATGGACCATTGTTCAGATGCTTGCCCTGAGAACTGGGCTGTCCGGCTGAAGAAGCAGTCTTACGAGGGATCATGGGAGGTAAGGCAGAGATTGTATTTGTGTGAATGCCTACTTAGAAACTCACAGGATACTTTATTAGAAACTGGGCCTTGAATCCAATTTCCGGTCCAGGATTTTGTAATCAAGAACTGCTGATGTAACTTAGATAGGATAAAGTAATCCACCCCAATAAGGAAGGTTATCAAAGGATACCGAAAAAATGAAACTCCTGATAATTATGCAAGACCTGATCGTCCACCAGAAAGATAAACAGTATTTAACCCTCACAAACTTGTGCACAAACTTGCCCATACGTCAAATATGATGTGTCTATAAATGTTTCAATATCTTTGCGATTATACGGTACAGAATTACGGTTAAAACATTTCCTAAATCTGTAGAGTCGCCCTTTCCATTTCATCTTATAACAAGTTTGCATGTGACTCATATCCGGAGTTATGAGGCTATAAAGAGAGATTGAGATGTTCATTAACTGCCTCTTACTATGTGTAATTGGTGGATTTGTGTGTCCATCTACATGTTGTGTGAAAATGAGATGTGAGGAAATCACTAAGGACTGACCCATCACCTCGGAAACCCTGTGGATGCAGTAGTTTTTGAAAGTAGCGACGAAGATACCAGAGCATTTTGATATCCAGCTCTCTTTATTGGATTTCTTAATCGGATTTCTAGACTTTATGTTGATCTAAGAAATCAGAATATGCTGTTTACGTGACCACTTGAGTAATCAGATAACTGCAGAAATCTAATTATGATTGGATTATTAAGTGTATGTAAATGCATTCAGTGGCATTGACATATGTAAAAACCCCAGCATCACTGCTGATACATGTATACCCACCATGCTACTACCATGTCAGTGATGTCAAGAATGGTCCACTACTCAAATAATATTTGGGAACAATGGTCCTGTGGTCAGAAACTGAACAATAATGAACAGCGTAAAGGGGGACTGAAAGACAGTCTGTTATTGTACGCTTATATAGTGGACCCATGAGGTAAGTGGACCACATAAAGTGGCCAGTGAGTGGAAGTACAAGTTGGAAGTGGAAGGCGAGTATATGACTGTGTATATAGTATATTTGCTGGCCCCACAACTTTAATCACTACTTCAGCTGTGTCCAGCCGTATGTGCTCAGCTGGTCCATTCTGCCACTGACTTCTCTCTTCTTTCCTTTCCTTTTGTTACCAGACTAACCATATCCTCCATCAGTTGTTCAAACAGACCCTCAGACAGTAATCTTCTGAAAAGTGGTCTCAGGAAAAGAACTTGTCTGCTAGCTACCTAAAGACAGTGCCTTTCACAGCAGCTCAGTTTAGTAGTGCAGAATCTTTGTGATTCACCATGATGACCAGCAACATCTGCCAGTATTTTTTAGAGTTATTATTGTCATTTTGCCATACTATTTTAAGGTAATAATATACTATTAATTAATGTTACACTTTTTATATTTGCATTTAATTTACATTTTGTATCTAGTTTTTTCCCCTTTAGTTTTGACGTCAACAAAAAGATGGTTTTCCTTTCTGAAAGTCCAGACTGCATGTGCAGCAATAGCTTTTCATCAGATTCAAATCATCTCTGACATACAAACACAAAAGCAATGCAAAATGAAAATAATTCAGAAAATTGCAGATGAAAACTGTGACTTCCACGGCTGGCATGACACAGTGAAACACTTCAGTTGCTTGAAACCTGCATGAAAATAAATTGCACTTGAGTTGCATAATGTAGAGCATTCTGGAACTCATTCAAAGCTCAGCCGCAATGGTAGCAAGCATCTCAAGTTTCATTTAAAACAAAATGGTGATTACGCTAAATGAGATACTTAAAACTGACCGATTTCACCAGATCAATTGAAGAAAATAAAACAGAATATGGTTTATTGGGTGGCTGAAAAGGAGATCCTTGTGAATGTGTTGCATGCAGCTTGATTTTTAAAATTGCCTTGTTTTACTGTTAAGTTGCATGAAATCATGTTGCAGCTATCTCACATTACACAACTACTTGCCTATTAGTTTCACCCTGTCAGGTCAGCCTAAGGATTAATGCTTTTAGGCAAGAGTTAAGGCCATTATGCACCAAATGCAATGGGAAAAAGTGACAAATAAGAAATATTCTGAAGCAATATTTTTGCATCAACACATCATGTACATACCGATCATGATGAAATGTTTTGTGGAATTTCACAAAATTGTTTATGCCAAAAGAAACAGATGGGCAGAATATCAACAAAAAAGTCCTTTGCTTCTTACAAAATGGGCTACTCTGACATTGCTTAGGATACAAAAAACAGAGTTTCTCTGCTTCATTCAGGAGCTTAAACTTTATTGACTCTCCTTCACAGGTCTGATCTCCATAACTCAGTAAGAGCTGATTTTGGAGATGTAGCTCCACACAAGATGAAACAAAAAACAAACATACAGACTGCTCTTCAAATGTAGTTATGTTATAACTGAAGCTTGGGGGGAGGAACATGCCTGAAACCCCCCCTTCTACCAATCTAATGCCTTATAACTTTACATACTCACCTTCCATTCCCGTGATGAAGGGTTCACAATCCCCACTGCCACCACATCTTTCCCCAGTTCCTCAGTCCTACATCAATCCTGCTACTGCTATGAGGGGACATCTGGCCTTCTAACTACAGGCAGAAGCTGCCCAGTACTCCAGCCCAAGTTCTCAGAGTTCGCCCCTCCCCCAAAGTGCCAATAAGATCTCCTTTGCCGTTTGTTTTGGAAAAGTGAAAGTAGCGTGAAGAGCTTCATCGCTTTGTTCAGAAGCTGAAACTTTGAGTGCTTCCACACAGGCTTTAACTTGAATGCTTGTAGCCCAGTTTGAGCCCTGCTTGAGCTGCTTTTGGAGATTCTGATCCTTTTAGCAGACAAACCAACTAGGAAAAAAATTGCTAGTCAGCTTGGTTGTCGCCATGCCAACACCAGAGATGACTCTGAATGTTCAGAGAGTTCTAGTCACAGAAGAAAGTTCACAGAAATCAAACAGATAATACCATATTTTTGCTGTTTAAAATCGCATTTAATTCTACCATCGGGTGCTGGAATTAATTTATTGTCATCTGACTAAATTATGCAAATAAATTACGCTCTGTGTGTAAAGAGCTTTAAGGCCATCACACAATGGATGTGTTGCGCAGTATTGTGTAACAAATAGTCACATAGCATCATGTAGCAGAGTGCGGCTATAGAATGCCTGCAGGAAGAGCTCTAAAACATCAGGTTCAGGTTCATTTTTACACTGTGCTCATAAAAATTGCATGAAATAAAGTGTTAAGCATCACTTATCATGCTTGGCACCCATTTACTACCTCTTCACAGACTGGCTGTTTTTGGGCTGAAAGATATAACCTTAAAAAGGCTCAGATAGTAACGTTAGCTGAGTTAACTTACCTTTAGCATCTTTCTGCTTACCTAAAAGACTGACTGCCTTTCTCTGCGCAAACTTCAAGCCAATTTTCAGGCTTACTGTGGTCTCAGTATAGCTTTCATTTAATGTAGTAATGGCAAAATCCTGCATGGCATGCTGTGACGCGCTAAGAACTTGAGCAGTGCTCAGAGTCATGTCGGCACCTGTGTGCGTACCTCCATGGTTTCACATTTTTAAACGCTGCGTGACGCAACTCAGTGCATCCAGTGTGCAACAGCCTTTAAAGTGGTCTAAATGGAATGTCACATGACTGTGTGCAATGGTATCTAGACAATTCAGTTGAATTCTAGAACTGCATTTAGAATTCCAGACACAAAAAGCTTCGCTCTGCCATTGAGAGTGTTGGGGCCAGAATGGGACAGGCAGCACACAGAGGGGAGGAAGAGGAGGAACCAGAGGGAGAAGGATGAAGAAGCAGAAGGCGGGGAGCGAAGGTCCTCTTTCATGTTCGATATTGTGCATAAATTATTCAGGCCCCTCGGTGTGGCAGCAGTGGGGCGTCTGCAGAATGAATTGGCCTGTCTTAGGCTGGGGTTAGAAGAGCACTTTTAATCATTCACCAGCCCAAATATAGCCCACGGGCGACAGGTCGCCCCGCTCACCCAGGTACCCCCAGACAAAGGCAGGAAACGGGCAAGTTTGTCCTGGATAGGAGTCTTGGCAGACTGGCTTAGAGCAGTTAATTTCTCCAGAGAACGCAGACCTGTGAAGCGACAGGAAGAAGTAGCTGGCCTGGGTTGATATTGAACCACTGGAACAGAGGTTTGGATTTGAGAGTGAGAGGGAAAAGATATATCGTGGTTGACATTTCAACAGCTTGTATCTCCATTGTTTTGGTGTTTGTCCATTTATTTATCTATCTCTCATTTGAAAAAGCCTGCTGCCTTTTACATTGTGAGAAAATTTCATGATGAATGGACAAATGGAAATGACCCAAAATGACTTGGAATAAAATGACTTTGCATTAACAAATATTGAAGTTAAGAATGTTTTCCAGCTTCTTTCCATTTTGGAGGCCTCTCACTAATTCTAATGGAAGAAAATGAGAGTTCATTATGATGGAATGCGAAATGCCTCATGTCGATACTAATTTCATTGATGAAGACAGTGGCTTATTTTATCGATTGGCAGGATGTAATTTCCTGGCCAAGGCATCCCTAGGTGCATGACGGTGGGACCGCGGCCGTGAGGTTGATTAGATGGCCGTGAGTGGGAGGGTGTGCGAGTGTGAAAGCGAAAGAAAGTGGAGTCTCTGTGATGAGCTTCCTCCACAAGTTCCTGTCACTAAGGGTCCCACTTGCCTTTTCTTCTAATTAAAGCCACACTGGGGAGCCATTATAAGATTGTATCTGACCACAGGCTACGAAAGAACGACATGTTTCATTAGGACATTGCTGCTCGGTGGGAGATTTCCTTTTTACCCTGCCACATTTCTCTCCATACAAACCTCATACCTTATATTCAGGCATGTACGAGTTTGCTGTTACACATTTCGGCATACAGGAGTCACCAGCTGGCGCGGCCCTAATGAACGTCTCACACTTGAATGTCCCAGCATGGTCCCAGCTTCAATTAATTCATTCCCATGGCTGTTAAAGAAAAGTGCATCTAATTGTCAAAGCGGCTAATTGATTAACGGATGGGTGAAGTGTAAAATGGCGAGGGATTGGTCACGCCGTTGCCTTGGCAATGTTAATGAGCGTAGCCAACACGGGGGTCGAGGTCACATCTTTTTACCCGGGCCGAGATTGCATCACCGACATTCCGACCGGAGCTGTCTGCGTATGCATAATGAGCAAAACATTCACAATTACACACTGTAAAACTGCATCTTCTATTCTTGCCTTTTCATTTAATGGCTGTATTATCAAATAGATAAAGAGGAAATTGCCGAGGAAGAATTCATTCACATGACGTATTCTGTGCCCTTTCATTTTTCTTATGCAAACACCTACATTTCTGTCTTGGATAGAAATGTGTGTGTTTTTTTTTTTGGTGTGTCTGTGTGTAAATGTATGAGTATCAAATATAATCACTTACTGGTAAGGGTTTTGAACATGGACTAATAGCACTAATAAGAAAACAGGTAATTACAAATCAGCTCAATGATTCATTGGAATTAATTTAATGGGATTCAGATCTGATATGTAAAAGAACTCTAGAGAAAAACAGAATGCATCTTAAACAACCTGCACTGGCCTACAAGCACCCTGCGTCTGTTTCTCTGCCCCTGTGTGTATGATGCAAATGCAATAACGTTTCTGTCTTTTTTTTTTTTTTACATAATTTTAAACCTCCAGGTGCCCTTTGCATTGTGTGTAAATGTTCTGATGAATGCACGAATAGAAATGCCCCAAAATTACTTGCAATAAAATCTTTTTACATTAACATTTTTACATCTATAATGCACATTGGGCACATACATATTATATGTATTATATATACATATAGGTACTTATTCATTATTGTTCAAAAGTCAGACCCCACCCCTCATTTATTGCATTTCTAGTCAAAACAGCCATTAACTAGAGGTTATTCATTTTCCAGAATTAGGAAAAAAGCAGGAAAAAAAAACAGAAAATTACATAACAACCAAATATAATGTCATTTTTTCAACATTTATAGACTTTTAGTTATTGAAAGAATTCTGCTATATTTCCACACTTCCACAGTTCAGTCTTAGAAATTGGTTGCATTTTCTGCTTCTCACAAACAGAGTAGTCTCGAACACATTCAATGATGCTGAGGTCTGTTGGTCTTTTCTCTTTTTCTTCCTTTTCTCAGTAATGGCTTCTTAGCAGCTACACATCCAATCAGAACTAGTTGTCTTCATACAGTGGATTTTTCCAGATCTGAAGCAAAAGTGGAGCTTGATTTTCTCTTATTCTCAAAGATGAAAGCTTTAAGAGCTGTTTATCCGATGGGAACAGTTTTGGTGGTCTACCTGGTCTTGCATGGTTGCTAGGAGTTCCATTTTCTCCTTATTTTTTTTTTTACTCTTGTTTTGGAATCTCCTGTTTTTTTATTTTGACTTTAATCAGCCTTATCTATGAATTTCTTAGAAATATGTCCTGAAAAAATTACATTTTACATATTGATCAGAAATTTAAATAAATTAGTGGGGACTTTTGCACAGTACTCTACATATAAGTACATTCTTACATACTATGTAAAGCGTCCTTGGGTTTGTGAAAGGGGCTATATAAATTCAACTATAAATTGAAAAATAAAAACACTGGTGGCCCACAGATTTGTTGGGATTTTTTAAATATTGCCCTTTCAGTGGTTCAATTTGACACCCCTGGCCTAGAGGTACTTACACATATATAACACAAATGTACATCCTGAATTCGTACAAAAACAGTGCTGTGTGTGTGTTAGGATGTGCTGCTGCTGGGAGAGGAGCTGGTGTCTGAGCCGTATTACTGCCAGCTGGAGGCGGAGACGTGTCGCGTGTTCACTGAGCAGCTGGGCCGCTTTGCCCTGGTGGGAGAGTCTCTCAGCATGGCGGCCGCAAAACGCCTCAAACTGCTGCTGTTCGCCCCCGCCTACTGCTCCACGCTGGAGTACAGCATCCGCGTCTACTGCACAGATGACACACAGGACCTCATCAAGGTAAGTACAGCCCAAGTTTTTCTTCTCTTCTTCTTGCTCTTAGGGAGTTTTCCCACCCTCAGTGATCCTCAGTGATGCTTACTAAGGGGCTGGACCCACATTTCTGGAAAGACAGTGTTGGAGAAAGCGCTGAAGAAACTGAATTAAATTGGACGCACTGGTTCTCATTAAGCAACAGTCAAAGATGACGAAGCTGTTTCATTATTGTGGAACGGTATAGTGTTGTTTAGTATGGTATATAGTGCAGTGTGTTCTCACATATTCTTTTAGATTGTAAGCTCCTCAGACAAAAATTAGTAACCTTGCGTGTTAAAAGCGCTAGAAACTTCAAGCTCCTGCAGATGGCATGGTACGAGGATGATCGGGCTATAAATACCTGTGGGGTGTCCAACAGGATTCATAGATTGAGAAAAGGTGGTACAGTGCAGTGAACGTCTCATTCGATGTGTGGAAAATGGGTCGCAAAGCAGATGTTAATGATTGGCAAAAAGGAGTGACTGCATTTGAGCGTGTCAAAGGCCACAGTGGGAAGAAAGTAGCTGAATTTGCAGGTGTATTGAAGCATGCGGTCATACGGGTCAACCAGCAGTGGCAAAAGTCCCAGTCTACAGGGAATTCTCATCAGAATTGTGGCTGAAAGATGAAAATGACGGACAGGGACTGCTGACATGTTTCGTGTCTTGTGATTGAGTGGTCCTTCAGAAATTGGTTGTGAAGAACCTGCGTTGACTTCTAGAAGCAGTTCTTGACTGCAAGTAAAGCAATTTTTATTCACAAGCTCCCTGGACAAAAAATTACTCACCTTGCATATTCAAGGTGGTGACTAATTCAAATGTAGTTAATCTATATAGCACTAATACAGTGTTCTACAATTACATGTTGCCTTCCTACTGATTTTCTAACTCCAAGTGCCAACAGTGTATCAGTAATTGATCACGTTCTTGCTTTATTTTGATTGTGGCTTTAAAATAAAAAAAAAGAAAAAATATAACAATAACTAACTGGCATAAAAATGAAAATGGCAAAGAAACAATATGATCAAACACAACAAAGAACAAACAGACTCCAAAAATCAAAGACAATCATGGCTAATATACATATATCAACTAAACAAGACACAGGTGAAATAAAAAATACTGGCCAAAAATATACCCTTTTAAAAAAGTGTGTTCTGATTGGTTGATATGTTGGTTTAAAGAGCGCTGTTTGGTTGCTATGTTGGTCTAGTGAGTGCTGATTGGTTGTTGATCTGTTGGTGTAATGAGCAATGTTTGGTTGCTATGTTGATCTAGTGAGTGCTGATTGGTTGTTGTGATGTTGGTGTAACGAGCACCTTTTGGTTGCTATGTGGGTCTAGTGAGTGCTGAATGGTTGTTGATATGTCGGTGTAATGAGCGCTGTTTGGTTGCTAGGTTGGTCTAGTACATGCTGATTGGTTGCTATGTTGGTGAGGTGAGTCGTAATTTGTATCTAAGGGCAGTGACTGGTGATTGGTTGACATTGTTGTGTGGTAAGTACTGATTGGGCAGGTTACCGTTCTGTTCTGTTTCCATCTGTTTTCCGTTCGGCTGCCTCTCTCCCGGCTGTGCTATTTCAGCTTCTCCTTCTGAACGGATGAAGAATAATCAGGAGCTAATGCCAAAGCTGGCTCCCTGGAGGAGTGCGTCTGAGTAGCCTGTTAAGATTTCATTTGCATGGTTAATTAGTAAATGAAAAAGAGAAGCTCTGTGGCTGCGGCCTCGCGGTCACCACGAGAGACCTCAGCTGAGCACTAGCCACTCCAACCACACACAGCCTGCCAGAGAGAGAAAGAGAGAGAGAGAAGAAAGAGAAAGAGAGAGGGAACCAGAAAGAGACAGCATGAAAGTAAGAAAGATGGAATGAAGGAGAGGGCTGGAAAGAAGAGAAAGTAGGAAGGATGGTGGGAGTCAGAGAGAGAGAGAGGGAACGCGTGAGACAGAGTGAAAGTGAAAAAGAAGGAGAGCTTGGGTGCCAGTATTGGCCTGGTGGGCTTAAATGGAGCTGTTAGTCTTGCAGAGTTTAGAGGATTAGGGGTCCTGGAGCTGGATTTAAACCCACAGCTCTGGCCCAGGCCTTATGTAGGAAATTTGGGAGAACACTGGCCTTTCCAGAAGAAACCGCTACAGCCTGACATTTGAGCTATTAATGTGAGAGGGTTCCTCAGTCCGGCACTGTTTGAAATGTTCCCAACAACTATTCCTTACATTGGAAACTCAGAAGCAAACACTGACACAGGAAGTAGGAATCATCTACTAATCACTGTTCCCTACATTGGGAAACCACAGTATTCCAGAAACTTCCTACCTTTAGTCCTACACTCTCAGAAAAAAGGTACAAAACTGTCACTGGGGCAGTACCTCTCTTGCTTCTTGTCACTGGGGTGGTACCCTCAAGGGTACATCTCAGTACCTTAAGTCAGGGAACATATCTGTGCCATAATCCATTGAAATTATATTTTCTAAGTTGTATTGACTCCACACACCCCGTCTCGTCTCCAGGCTTTTTATTTTATTGTTCTGTTTTAAAACATTAGTTTATGAAAAGGTACAAATACGAACTTTTTACCTGAAAGAAACCTATTTAAAGTACTGTTGTACCTTTGAGGGAACATTTAAATTGTTTGTACCTCGATGAATGAAAAGTGTACCTGCGCAGAACCTTTATTTCTAACAGTGTAGTTAAGGTCTAGATTCTTTTCCTGCAGATTCTCACATAAGCAAAATTGATCTCCTCATCTTACAGCATCTCCGAATAGGAAACAATACTCAGTTGAAGTTGATAATTAATTTGTTACATCTGTTACCAAGCAACCAATGATACATGCTCAGCTGGAGATGTAATGATCAAGAAATATAAACAAAATATGTTAGTTACTTAGATGGCAAGACAGCTACTGATGTAAAAAAAAAACTAAAGCGAGATGAACCAGAAGTTTGAAAAAGCCACGCTTATGTCATTTTTCCTAATAAGCAGCCACACATTCAGCTCATCTCAGTATTCGCTCCCATTTCTGCAATATATTTTTACAGGTTTTTGTATTAACATTTTAATACTCATAACATCTTAACATGTTCAAATTAACCCTTTGGAGCCTAAGGGCATTTTCTTCATTTTTGCATATATTCTTAAATATTTAACTATTTATTTAATACTTAAATAAGTTATATTTAAATATAAATATAACCCAATACCTACATATTACATATCAAAATGTTCAGAACAATCTCAGCTGTTTAAAGCTGAAAAATTGAAGTCTGGTTTTAAAATGCTTAATATCTCTTGTGAAAACATAGCTTTACTCATCTAGACTCATTGTTTTGGTGCTTTACCAAAGTCATAGGTTCACAAAAGTAGTGGAATGTATGAATAAAATAGTAGATAAATGTTGTCATCATCACTTTTTTCAAAACCGCTGCAGCAACTTTAGCAGCTGTAAACCTTTTACACACCGTTTCATGTCTGTGTTCGAGGCAACTGGACAAAAAATGGAAGGTTACCAATGTAATGTGTAAGTCCTGAGTGTCCATTGGTCAGTTTCACACAAAATATAGACTGACAAACCAATTACAGGCAGATGACGGACACATGAATCCACTAGTTACACACTGGGAGAGGCAGATGGCATGAATCCCAACTTGTCTTTGTTGGCTCATGAGTCACGTACCATCTCATGATAAGATGGAGTGGAAAGGACGACTCTATAGATTCAGGAACTTTTTGAACCTAATTTCTGTGCTGAATTATAACAAAGATAATAATAGAAACACTGAGAAACATCTAATTTGACTTGCCAGCACGTTCTGCAACCCCAGAGGGTTAAACACATGCAAGTAATAAGAGGGAAAGAGGGAAAACGTGTGTACAGTGTCTAGGATTTTCTGAAGTACAGAGTTAGAAAAAAAACATGACTCTCACTTGTGAAACCGCCACTTTCCTATATGAATATACAGCATTTAATGCTAGTTCATGCTAGTCCTTACAGAAAAGTCACGTTATTTCATGTGTAAAATGTGTAACAACCATGTCTTTACAAGTAATCACTTGGTTTTTCACTTTTGGACCCGTTTTCAATGTAATCACATGTTATTGACATGTAATAACACATTTTTTAACATGAATTATGGAAAAAAACATGTTTACAGGTAAAGATGTTTTTTTACATGAAAATATCCACTGATGTCTATTTACATCTAAATAATTCAATTTCATTTTAATAATTCATGAAAAAAGACAAACAACTTTGAAATATAAATCACAAAATGCTATGAAATGCAATTTTGTCTGTTTAGTAAAAAGTTATAATTATATTAAATTATATTAATTACACAGTAATATTATAAATCAATTAACTGATTTTATTATTATTATTATTATTATTATTATTATTATTATGTGAATAAATGTAGCAGCATGTTGTGCTGGTTCATGCTAGCCCTCACAGAAATGTCACACATTTCATAGAAGAAATGTGCGAAAACACATGTATTCACTAGTAATCATATGGTTTTTCACATGTGATCACATTTTTTCACTTTTGAACGTTTTCAATGTGATCACATGTTATTTCCATGTAATAACACATTTGTAACATGTCAATTGTGCAAAAAACACATTTACAAGTAACGATGTGTTTTTGTACATGAAAATATCCACTGATGTCAAATTATTATATCTTAATAACTCAACTAATTATTATTAAATACTTTTTGCTTTCAAATTAGCAGCTTCTTGATCTTTGGTGCAGAACTCTATGTAAAATTCTAATAAAGAATAACTTTCAACTTTGTGGTTTGCTGTTAATTAAGAAGTCACTCACCAATTAACAAACATTCCAAAGTTTAAGTCATCGATATCAAATTACCACTACAAAGCTTTTTAGAAAACGTAACCCTGGGCAGTAATATAACATTATTACATACACAAATAAACATAAATGCAGTAAAAACTAACAAGAATGTCTGGATTTCAAAAAAGTTGAG